CCAATCGTCGCACTCTTGGTCGCTTCCACCAGGGATGATGCCGAAGCCCAAAGCGCCACCGCAAGATGCGCCCTCACCACAGGAGGCGCCCCCGCCTGCGGCCCCACCAGCCGCGGGAGGAATGCCCGCCCCGCTCGGCGACTTATCCGATGAGGAGGCAGCGCTTCGCAAGACAATGCGCAAGCGTAAGGAGGCCGTGGCCCTGAGTAAACGTCCAGCAGCTGCTGGGGGCGATGCCGATGGCGTCGAGGGCGCCGACGACGATGGCGACGAACTCGCCGACGAGGAGGGGGGCCCGCCGAAGAAGGTCATGAAGGGCGCCCCGCCGAAGAAGGCCACGAAGGTGGTCATGCGGAGGCCCTCGGCGAAGCCGAGGCCCACGGCGAAGCCGAAGCCGCTGCCCAAGGCCCCGCTGACGGGGGCCCCGAAGATCGAGTACCGCGCGGGGTATATACTCACGCAGCCAGACAAGTCCCAGTACAGGGCTGTCCTGGGGCGGCCCGACAGGCGCATCCGCTGGGACACGGGCAGCACGCGCCAGGAGGCTTTCACCAAGGCGATGAAGTTCATAGACGAGCGCTCGTAGCCGCTTGTCTGCTCTGCTCATCGCCGATCGCGACTTCTCGCGATTTGTTTCGCTGTGCTATAACGCTTGTGTGCATTGTTCATGTATGCCTGCATGGTGCAATGTAAAATGCAAGTCGTTGTTCCATCGTATGCGAGGGGCACCCGTCGCACAATCCTCTGTTGCGATTGCAGATATCGCATTCATGCTACCATCACTCAGTAGCAGTTTTGGCTCAAGCCATGTCGGCGGGGCCACCGAAGCGTCGCAAGACAGACGCCGAAGCACTGATTGAGTTACACAGAGGCCCATATGTATCTGAGCGGAGTCTTACATACATTCTCAAGTACGTACGAGATAATGGTATACCAGGTAACATTTCGCGTTATGCGCAGCACAGCGCAAGGCAGAAATTAATCGGTGCCGAATCGAACCAGTACGGTGGCGTGCTTGCCGGCATTGATATGCCATTGAACAGCGGTAAGAGCTTCAAGAACTGGGTGTGCGCCCCTGGCCCGTACTTGTACTCGACGGCGAAACGGAGTAAGGGGTTCAGAGATCTGTTGCGCCGCCAGCTCGCCAAGCACCCGTGCTCCCTAGCATCCCCATGGCGCATCTGCTTATATTTCGACGGTATCTCACCGCGTGACCCGTTGGCCAAGGGCAAAGACCACCGAGGGGTGGATGCTGTATACTGGTCGTTTCTAGAGTTCGATGAGTTTTTGCAGGACGAAGACGCATGGCTCGTGCTCAGCACCGCTCGGGTTTCCAAAGCGAGGGACATGCCTGGAGGGATCGGGCAGTCGGTTGCAATGACGTGCAACGAGCTCATGTTCAATACGTCTGGCGGGGTGAACTTTCGCACGACTGGAGTTATCTTGGACGTGTCAGAAGCAGGGGATGCCACAAGGCACGCGACTATAATCGCGAGGTTGGGCTGCACTGTGGGCGACGAAGAAGCCCTCCGTGAATTCCACATGAACAAAGGGCACGCGGGCACCAAACCGTGTGCCATCTGCAGGAACGTGCTCAACCAGAAGTTCGACTACGCGTCGCACGACACGTCTGGTACATTTATATCGGACGCATGCCTCGGCAGAAGCAAACGCGTCGTCAACACAGGCGCGCAGATCGTTGCTATCTTGGAAAGGCTACGCCCCGACTGGGAGAGGTACGACCGCGGTGAGATTAGCGACAACAAGTGGAAGGAGATCACGCAGCTAAAGGGTTGGAACTTTCATCCGACGCACGTTGCCTTGGACGCCAACCTCGCCTACGGTGTCATGTCGCTCCTCTGCTTCGATTGGATGCACATCTATAGCGTCAATGGCATCGTAGCTAAAGAAGTGAAAGCTTTCACTGAGAACAAGGCGGTTTGCAAACTCTGCAGCGCCGAAGATCTCAACGACTATCTTTCAAACTGGACATGGCCCCACAAGTTTCATGCCGCCAATGCCGTGTTCGCACAGGGCGAACTACAAGCAAACGCATCGCAAGAGCTGTCTATGATTCCCGTGCTGGCGCACTTCATCGGGCAAGTCATTGCCAAGCTGCCTGATGCAGGCACCATCTCGGGTCATATTGCAAGTTTACTTGCACTGTGCGATGTTATTGATATGGTTATTCTCTCGTCCAGGGGCCTCGCGACTGCACGTGAGCTGGATGTCGCCGTGATGAAGCATTTGGAGCTACTCACGCGCACATACGGGACTAAATATTGGGTTTACAAACACCATATGGCAACTCATCTTGCCGACATGTACTTCAAATTCGGACCCTTGAACTGCTTCGTCCACGAGCGGAAGCACAAAGTTTGCAAGAAGTTTGCAAAGGACCATCTGTGCATAAGGACCCCCGAGAAGTCATTGATGATGCAGCTCACGGCGCAGCACAGTTACGACATAGAGCACTTCAGCATCTCAACGACGCTGGTCGACCCCGTAGCCGCCACCAAGAAGCTCATGGGCGTCTTGAAGGAGTTGCGTCCGCAAACGCAATCGGCATCATCGAGCCTCACGGCGTGGACCAAGTACGGGCCGATCCATAGAGGAGACATATGCTTGCTGGGACGTGCTGCAGGACATGCAGCCGTGCAGGTCTGGTTCCATGTAGATTGTGACACAGAGACTGCGCCCTCAGGGCCTCTATGCTTAGTCTTGGAATTGCAGACTCGGCACGTGCACAGCGCAGATTACTATTCTAGGTACTCCATAGACGAAGATAATAATCCCGTGCTCATTCCTTTGGACTCGCTGAGGCACCCTGTGATTAACAGGCGTCTCGGCGATGCAATCACTTGCATTTGGCCAGTTGAGTATCGCAAATTGGAATGCTGACGCGTTTGCGATGTAGAAGTATACATCTTCACATCAATGAATACATCTTCAAAACATCCCGCAAGAAACACAATATCGAAATTGAAACAACATTGAACGCCCCAAAATCAAGTATATGTTAGCCGAAAAACTATCATGTTATCCGAAATGAATCAACATGATAACTTTTATAAATGAGTTATAACTAAGTTATAACTCCGCCTAACAGTTACTAACTTCAAATGCCTTCAGGTGGGGCCTCGTGGGGACCTTTTGTGCCGTCTAGGAGGCCTCGTAGCCCGTCTTTGGGCCACCTTGGGTTTGGCGTCCCGGGGCCATTTCGAGGCCACCGGAGGAGTCCTTGCAGGATTTTCGGGAGCGGATGACCCCCCCGGGGGAATCGGGGAATTTGGCCGGACCCCCCCGGGGGAGTCGGGGAATTTGGCCGGACCCCCCCACCCCCCTCCAAATCGACTGGACCGGGCTCCCGGGGGTTGGGTTTGGGGAGGGGGAAGAGCTCACGCGCCGATGAACCCCAAGGGGTCGGCGGATTTCCGCTGCTGTGGACCTTTTTGGAGCGCCCCTTCGGGGCCTCGTGGATTGTCTTGGAGGCATCGTGAGCTGTCTTGAGCTCATATTGGTGCATCTTGGAGCCACTGAAGGCCACGTGGAGGTCCTCTTGACCCGTCGTGGTGCGTCCCGGGGCCATTTCGAGGCCACCGGAGGGTCCTTGCAGGATTTTCGGGAGCGGATGACCCCCCCGGGGGATCTGGCCAGACCCCCCCCCCCCTTCCAAATCGACCGGACCGGGCTCCCAGGGTGGTGGTGGGCCGATTCGGGAGCCTCTGGGGCCGTCTTGGCGCCGTTTTGGGGCGTCTTGGGCCCGTTTGTGGGACCCTTTTGGGACGTCATGGGGTGGCCTTGGGGGCCTTGTGGACTGGCTGGAACTCCGTGCAGGCTGAAAAGTCGTCGATGCTAAACATGTACGGTTCCGCATGGAAAATCAAGGATTTTCGCTGCTGTGGACCTTCTTGGAGCGCCCCTTCGGGGCCTCTTGGATCTTCTTGGAGGCATCGTGAGCTGTCTTGAGCCCATATTGGGGCACTTTGGAGCCACTGAAGGCCACGTGGAGGTCCTCTTGACCCGTCGTGGTGCGTCCCGGGGTCATTTCGAGGCCACTGGAAAGGGTCCTTGCAGGATTTTCGGGAGCGGATGACCCCCCGGGGGGAATCGGGGAATCCGGCCGGACCCCCCCCCCTCCAAATCGACCGGACCGGGTTCCCGGGGGAGGGGTTTGGGGAGGGGGAAGATCACACGCCGATGAACCCCAAAGGGTCGGCGGATAATTATGATGATGATGCTGATGATGATATTGATGATGCTGATGACGTGGATGATGATGGTGATGGTGATGGTGATGATGATGCTGCTGTTTACCATGCTGATGATTGCGGTGGTGGTGATGGTGGTTTTGGTGATGATCATGATGATGGTGATGCTGCTGGTGATGGTGGTGGTGATGGTGATAATGATGGTGATGATGGGTGCGGCGGTGTGAATGACGATGTCGATTATGCTGATGAGATGACGGCGACGATCATAACAGGTTGTTCGCCATTGGCGACCTGGCCAGCGGGGCCCCCGCGGCGGCGCACTCCGTCATCGGCGCTTGCTGCTGCCGGGTGTCCACGGCCTGCGAGCCCACGGGGCTCCTTCGTCGCCGTCCCCTCCGAGCTGCCCGCCGCAGGTCGGGAGTGCGATCCTGACAGGCGGGCGGGCGGACCCTGACGGGCGGGCGGGTGGGCGGGCGTGCCCCAACGGGCGGTTGGGATGTCAGCACGGGGTACGGGCCCGCAGCGGAGACCCCCTTCCGCGCCCACGCTGGTCTCCGCCCCGCCTTCGGTCGTCGTTCCTCCCTCGAGAAGGAGGTTCCAGGTTCGAGGGAGGAGGAGGATCGGGGATCGAGGAGGGTCGAGGACCGAGGAAGCAGCGGGCGGTCCGTGCCGGGCGGACGGGCGGGCCCTGCTGAGGCGCCGCCTCCCCTCTCCGCGCGCCTGCTGCCGACGGGGGCCCGCGCAGCTCTCGACCGCGCGCGGCTCCCTCCGAGCTGGCCGCCGCAGGTCAAGAGCGCCATGCTCATGGGCGGGCTCAGCAGCGGCCTGGTCGCGGTGGTCTCTGGGGCGCTCCTCGCAGCGTGCTGGTCGTCTCGCCGCTGCCCTGCCCTCGCTCGCTCGCCGAGGCCTTCTCGTCCGTCCGCCTTTTTCTTCCCGGAGTCATGTCCTCGTTTCCTGGCCCGGATCTGTTGGTCATCCCCCTTTTCCTTCGCCTTCTCCTCCTCCCACATCCTTCCTCGTCCTCCTCCTTTTCCTCATCCTCCTGCACCTTCGCCTTCCATCCTCCTACCTCCCACGTCCCTCCTCCCTTCTTCCTCCTCCCTCATCGCTTCTCCCTCTGCTTCCCTCCTCCCTCTTCTCCCCTCTCTCCTCCTCCTCCTCCTCCTTCCTCCTCCTCCTCCTCCTCCTTCTCCTCCTCCTCATCCTCTTCCTCTCTGTTGGTTTCTTCCTTGCTTCTTGTCTGTAGCTAAATGGACGCACGTAGCTGGCGGAGTACGGAGGCAAATCGATTATTTTGTTGTATGTGCTAAGACAATGGGCCTTGTCCAAAACTCACAGGCGTGCAATGACATAGGTGTCGGGTTGGACCACAGGCCCGTGAAGCTGTCGTTGCAGATGCCTTCCAGGACAAGGAGGAAATGTTTTTCAACGAAGTTGCGTGCAGTCCGATGGGAACCCACAGACAAAGCATCATACGCTTGTTGCGTGGATGAAGAGTTACGGCGTCAAGAGCAATGCAGCAATAATGATTGGCGGGACGCGCCCCGCGGATGTAGACAGATAGAGAAGATTTTGGGCACATGCGCTGAAAAGTGTGCTCGCGAACGAGAGCAGGGGCAACGTTCGCCGAAAGCCACGCCTCCAAAAATCCAAGACCTGATCAGGGAAAGGCGCCAAGCCCGCGCAGACGGCGGTGTCCACGGCCGGTCAGTGAAGGAGATCAGCAAAGATACACAGAAGGAACTGCGATTGTGGGAGCGGCAGTGGCGAAGACAGCAGATTGACGACATTTTGCTTCGTCACTCTGGGTTCGGCTTGGTTCAGGGCATTAAGAGCAATCACTAACATCATCTGCTCACGAGCGTGAAGGACGCGAACGGGGAACTTCAGACAGAGTGGCAGAGCATCGTAGACGTGATTGCCACCTTCTACGCGGAGCTGTACGCAGACCCCGGGAAAGGCGAGTTGGAACAGCATATGCGAGAGCAGCCAGGCCCAGGAGGCATTCCTCGCGTCACGCCTGACGAGGTCGAAACGCAGGTGCGGCGTATGAAAAAGGGCAAGGCGGCGGACCGTGCAAACGTCGTCGCTGAGATGTTCAAGCATGGCGGGGCGCACCTGTACGAGGCCATTTCGGAGTTTTTCACGGCCATAACGTCTGAGAAGCAAAAACCGCCAGAGGAGTCGCGACATACGTGCATCAAGGTTTTGTTCAAGAAGGGGGACCCGAAGCTCCCGTCCAACTACAGGCCGATTTCGATATTTCCTGTATTCTACAAGTTTTTCAGCAGGGTGTTCCATGCGCGGCTGCTGCGCTAATTGGAGAAAAAACAATCGGAGGACCAGGCCGGCTTCTGGAAAGGCTTTTCTTGCGATGACCATTTATTGACAGTTGTTCTCTTGCAAGAGAAAGCACTGGAGTACAATCCAGAGGTGTGGGCCGCCGCGGTGGAATTCGAGAAAGTTTTCGACTCCGTGCGACACATCGCGATATGGGAATCACTTCTGGCGCAGGGGGTGCCGCAGAATTACGTTAATCTGCTTGCAAGGTTATATGGTCAACAGCAAGGGCAGGTGGTGTCCGACCAACCCAGTCGAACATTCCCACTGCAGAGAGGCACCAAGCAGGGCGACCCGATGAGCCCAACCCTGTTTAACGCTGTTCTGGAGCAGGCTACGCGCGAGTTGAAAGAGAAGTGGAGGGCGAAGCGGTGCGGTATCAATCTGAACGGAAATTATTTAACGAACCTCCGCTTCGCAGGTGATATTTGATTCTGGGTACGTCTCGGGCTGCTGTGCGGCACGTGCACGAAGACTTGCGAGAAGCGGCGTCAAAAGCAGGACTGAGCTTGCATCCGGGGAAGACCAACATCCTGTCGAACAACTCGGAGGGGAGGGGGTTCTCCGGCGGAAGCACGTGCAGGTCGGAGATGGGACTGTGGAGGTTCTCCCGTTTGACGGCATCGTGCAGCACTTGGGCCGGCAACTATCTTTCAACGAGTTCCACGATACAGAAATCAGTCACACAATCAGCCGGGGATGGGCGGCGTTTGGAAAGTTTCGCTACGTGCTGGGCGCCAGCGCTACTCCCTGAAGTCGAGGCTGAAACTCTTCGAAGCAGTCGTGACGTCCGCAGTGCTTTATGGAAGTGGTGCTTGGACGATGACGGGCGAAAGAGAGAGTCGACTTCTCTCGGAGCAGAGGCGCATGCTTCGAAAGATAGTCCGGCGTGGCCGGCGCAGAATCGTGACTGGCGACGGAGAGGCGGTTCTGGAGCCCAGGGTGGAATGGGTCAGCAGGGCCACCCACAAAGCAGAGGAAGCACGCGACCGTGCAGGCATCAAGAGCTGGGTGGACTTGCAGATGGAGCGCAAGGACACGCTTATGCAAGAAACTGCACGTGCCGAGGGCAGCCGGTGGGCTTGCCGCTGAGTAGATATGCTCCTCTCCGCCTCATCTCACACTTGCCTCTCTCGCTGCCTTCCTTGCCGCGCCCTGACACTGCGGCTTTGCACCGCAGCCATTTGTGCTTACAAGGTAGAAAAGGAGCGCGCTTGCCCTCGGCCGCCGCGCGTCGTCGGTCGTCGGCCGGATGGCCTCCCCCCTTCCAACTCCTGAGTACAATTGCTTAACGGTTACTTGTAGCTTCATCGATGTATCATCCCGCATCCTCTACTACTGAGCAGAGTCAGCACGAGACCTTAGTTCCTTTGTCATCTCACCCCGGTTCTCAGAGGAAAGACTGGTTATCAGCCGAAACTCGCTACCAATTCGCAACAGGGATGAGCTATGATGAGACCGCCGACTTGCCCGTCAGAGCCGAGCTAGCATCACAAGTTGTACAACGTGACGGGCAAGAATCACGGGGCGGCGGCCCGGGGAGGGGCCGCCCTCCCTCTTCTTCTATCGCCGCTCGGGTCTCTCGTGGGAGGAGTAGGGGGGGAGTTATGGATTTGCCCAGAGACGATTCCCCTTCTCGGATTCCGATCGGCGATCGTGAACAGACCCCAGGCCCGACGGGGCGGGACGGCACAACAGCAAAGATAAGACGAGGAGCATTCTCGTCGTTGATTGCCCCGGCCTGATTGCTATGCGGACTATTGTGCCGGCCGCTGGCCAAGCCAGCGGGTCGGGGGATGCTGAAGGGTCCAGAGGCGCGCGCCCCACAGTCCCAGACCGATGGGGAAACGCTCAAGGGACTCATCCCATCCCGATAGCCCTGAACGGACAGACTGGCCAAGACAGCGATGAACAGCTCGATGATGGAGACGATGTTAACTCCATGGAGGAAGACGTTGAGCACGCTAGCTATCAAGTGTCAAGTGGCCGAGATTTGTCCTCTAATGGATGCAGACCACCCCGTCAAAGACCAGGCGGCCCCTTGGGCAGCATACAATTGATTACGACCAAGTGGAAGCTGACGGGGAAGCGTTTGCAATGCCAGACTCGGATACCGAGGTAAGTGGCCTGACGCCCCAGGCGGTCGAGGTGGAAATGGAATGTCAGACTCAAGCGAAGCATGGCCGGGAGATCACAGGACGAACTCCCGCTCCTCAACTCAAGAAGCAAAGGAATGAATATTATGACTTGAATGATTCCCCGCTTCAGGAAGGGTTTCATCGAACTGCCGTCGCCGCAGGCGATTGGCAACCATCGACACCTGTTGTAGTTGAGGATGATGAAATGATCACCCCCCGGCTTCGCTGGATGAGTTGGTTAGACAAGACGAAAGGGATGAGGAGCTTCGAGAGGCGGCGAGACCGCCAGATATTCCGCACATACGTCCCAGATCGAATGCTTCGAGCCGGGGAAGGCCCAAGATACCCAGATCTGGAGCTCGATCCACTTCGAGGAGCAACAGCACGATGTCCACGCGCGAGACATGCTGGAATTTGGGCCCCAATTGCCCGCCCCGGGCGGAGAACGGGTGCCCGGGGAAAGCCCGCGAGCCGAATGGGGCATGTAGGCGCCCAGCATGTAGAAGTTGCTCAGACGTGTGCCCGAATTGTAGCAATCAGTGGCTGCGTGTAGACTGCATGCCGATGGAAGAGCACAATTGCTCGTGCCTTCTCATCCAGGCGATGCAAAACCAGGCTAGATTTGTTGAGGCCCAAACCCAGCAGGAATTTCTGGCCCGCGAAGCACAGGGGGCCGAGAAAGCCCGACTGGACCGAGAAGAAATGAATGCAGTCGTTGAGGACGCTCGGAAGACGTTCGGGGCTGAGAGGCTCGCAATGGCCCTGGCGGTCAGAGAGCGGGAACAACAATTGGTGGGACAGATGCCCCATGAAACCGCGGCTGCCAAGCAGCGCGCGGAAGCAGAAGCCGAGAACAGGAATGTTGAGATGATAGCCTCCGAACGACAGGCCCCTATGACGGCGAACAGTCAGTCTGTTGATGCCAAGACCGCATCCGCCGCTGTTGCGGCCGCGAGAATAGAAGGAGAGAGGATTGCCACAGCCAGGGCAGCACAAGAAAGACAGGAGCTCCAAGAACAACTTCAAACTGCCAGGCTGGAAGTGGCCAATGCCCAGATTGTAGCTGCGACGATATATCGAGAAGAGCTCAAGTTACATGAGAACGCCAGAGCATCTCTTCAGCGTATGCAATTGAGCGACAGTACGTGCCCACGGGCCAAGCCGGCTGGGGCGAGTGGACGACCATCGCCGGCGGCCCAGCCGTCCGGCGCAACGCCCATGCAGGCCCAGTCTGGTTCGACGACCGTGGCAAGCGTGGCGCCGCCGATGCTGAAGGCGAGGGCTGCGCTGCAGCCCCGGCCCGCAAAACGGGGCGATGAAGAGAGTTGCTCGATTTGCTTTAATCCGAAAGTAGGAGATTGCGCCACTTGTGGGCTGCCAGGTTGCAA